CTATGCGGGAGGTAACATTCAGGCATAAGACCGTAAAACGAGTGCTCTTGTCGCTCGACATCAACAAAGCTTCTGGTCCGGACTTGATTCCTGCCATTGTACTGAAGAGATGTGCAGCTGAGCTTGCTCCAGTTCTTTCGCGTCTCTTCCAGATATCTTATGAATCCGGCACCTTCCCAGAAAACTGGAAATTTGCTCATGTACAGCCCATCCCAAAAAAAGGATCTAAAACCGACCCTTACAACTACAGGCCTATAGCTCTGCTTTCTGTTATAAGTAAAGTGATGGAGAGGTGCATAAATCGCGAGCTTCTGGACTACCTCGAACGTCACAGCTTGATTAGCGACAGGCAGTATGGTTTCCGGCACCAACGATCCACAGGGGACCTCCTAGCTTACGTCACGCAACTGTGGAGTAAACTCATCCAGTCTCATGGTGAGGCTCATGTCGTTGCTCTTGACATCACGAAAGCGTTCGATCAGCTGTGGCACGCTGCCCTCTTGAGCAAACTTCCATCCTACGGCCTCCCAGAAAAGCTTTGCAGATGGGTGGCTGACTTTATCTCTGGCCGCAAGATATCCGTCGTAATTGACGGATTCTCCTCTTCATCCCACAACGTCAACGCGGGTGTTTCCCCAGTGATCGGTCTTGGCTCCAACACTGTTTCTCTTACATATCAACGACCTCCTTTCCTGCACGATCAACCCAATCCACAGCTTCGCTGATGACAGCACTCTACATGCAGGAATTCAGAGTGACAAGCCGATCTCTGCCGCTGAGCTGGAAAAAAGAAGACTAGCGACGACTTCTTCTCTGACAAGAGACCTGGAGGCTATCACTGCTTGGGGACGCAACAATCTTGTACAGTTCAATGCTTCCAAAACACAGTACTGTACTTTGACGAACAAAAAGCGTCCTAGCGCTCATACAGTTTCGATGGACGGTCGAGTCCTACCAAAGAGCCATTCATTTCGGCTGGTCGGAGTCCAGATCACCGAGGACCTGATCTGGCACGAACACATCTCTTCAATAGCTGCAGCTGCTGGGAAAAAGCTAGGCTATTTGTTTAGGGCTAAGAAGTACTTTTCTCCGCATGACCTTCTCACTCTATACAAGGCCCAGATAAGGCCTAGCCTCGAGTATTGCTCACACATTTGGGGTGCTGCCGCCCCGACTACATTGTCCATGCTCGATGCTGTCCAGAGGAGGGCGGTCCGACTGATCGATGACTCTTCTCTAACAGACAGTCTCGGGACTCTTTCGCACCGGCGGGCCGTCGGCGATCTAGCTCTTTTCTATCGCTACACCAACGGGCTTTGCTCCTCAGAGCTCTCTTCCATGATGCCGCCGCGCGATGTGCCTGCCAGACAGACCCGCCTGACTTCGGCGTCCCATCCTAACCGTGTCAAACTTCGTACATCCAGAACTGGCCGATACGACCGCTCCTTTGTCCCGAGGGTGTCTAGATTGTGGAACAAACTACGGGAGGAACCTTTTCCCAGTTCTACTAACCTTAAGCAGTTCAAAAATCGTATTAACAAAATTTCTTTGGGATCATCATAGCAGCCGCGGTGTTCCGGCATTTAGGCTTCTGCCTGCGCGGCTGTTTCGATATATAAAAAAAAAAAAAAATTAAATCCAAAAGTTTTTTCCCTTATTCATCCTCCTCAAGACTTTTGCGTTTGTCGTGAGACTCACGACATTCTGGGCAGTTCCAATGTGTTCACTTTTAACCATCGTTTTTGTTTTCTTTATCATCAATTTCTTTCCAAAATTTTTTTGCTGGTTGACGTTACTCGACTCATCAGATGAAAATGCTGTATCCTAAAGTAATCCTATCATTCACGTATCGTAAGTTGTTAACACATTGATTTGATTTTCATTAGATTCTCAAATATTTGTCGTCGATATTCCCCATAATCGACCAAATTCATTATAGGGTGATTCAAATCGATTTCCATCTTTTCAAGTAAAATTTAAAAATGCCTTGATACCCAAAATCATAACAATGTTCTGCGGTCATTGTCCCCAATGTTACCCATGGAGTTAATTAATTGAATACCTAATAAATGGACGTTTAGTAGCCTCACACACATACGTGTTTCCAACGTATTATCCAATATTATTTGCCGCGACATGGGACCCTCAATTTGAATATATCGATCGCTGATTGAAACTATTAACACTATCGTAGGTATAAGCAAGCACATACCTAACAGTTTAACACTATCGTAGGTATAAGCAAGCACGTACGTAACAGTTTGCACACTAAGGAGAACGGATGGTTATCTTCTACGTTAAACACATGCTAAGCTATTATTATTAGTAAATTCATATATAATGGATGAGTTTTCGATGCTAAATAGCTGCTCTAGGTAGACTGTTGTCTCGAATTTGGCAAAAGACCAGAATCAGTCTTCGTGAATAGGAGTTCTTTTTAGGAGACTCGGTGGTACGATAATTTCAGACGTATATCTGCTAATCTATTTGATCGCGCAGTGCAGGCTCGTATTGTGGTACCAAAATGTTTCCTTGCTATATATGTCGGGGTACCATACAAATGATCTCGATGGTGGTTTCTCTAAAACGAAGAGACTCCTTAAGAGAGTTGTTTCATTAAAACACTTCAAATACTTACTACTTATAAAACACTAAACAAGTGGCATCGGTACGGAACAAACCGAAATCACTATAAGCGACTCATTACCCTCATACTGATATGAAAAATAGAGCATATCAAATTCTGGAAAGTAATAAAGCTTTTTCGAAATCACTGGTCTCACTTGTTTTAAAAGGTGGCTATCTAGATAACTGACTAACAACAACAAATACATCGACGATACTCAATAGGAGGTTGGGAAAAATTTCAAGCATACGTTTCTCTTTTGTTTTTAATTTAAATCGTGTAATATTCCACGTAGGGCCCTAATACTTAAATAGCTACTGGATGACATACAGTTTTTGAGAATAACTTGTTTCCATAGAGTGAAAAGTATTTTATAATTTTATTAAAGCAGAAGCTTTTCTCCAACCCTGTATGTCATTCCATAGCTATGTAACTTTTAGGGGTTGCATGAATCATTTTGTACTGCCTATCTATTTAATAGACTCACAGGTTACTAATCAGCATTATCCAAAAACCAACCGTTAGGTCATTTTGTCAAAGAATATTCATGTCCAATAAGGTAATAAAATATCTGTTCTGACGCATAAATATTTGCTTGCAAGGTGCTTTTCTAGTGTCTCACTTAAGCAAAACACTTATCAAATTAAATATATCGAGCGGTGAAACTATTAATCCTGCCATATTAGCCAGTACGTATTAACGTTTACTTATTAAAGAGAGAATGATAGTCCCATTTTGCCACAGATACATGCCTAACTGTAATATCGACAGCAAATTCAGACCCGATGAATGAGTAGTAGACAGACGCTTCAAACATATTAAACCGAATCATGATTTTGTCAAAAGTCTTATATGAATCTTATGCTGTAAAGACATTTTTAATAGAACAAATGTTAAGGGTTTCTGAAAGTAAACGGAATCTGTTGAAATCTTTATCTTTGTGCATAATGAAATCTTGAATAGAATATAGCGGTTACCGAACTTCGCATGATGTTTCTGAAACTCATAATCCTGATTCTGTGGAGTAAACATTTTCTTTTGAAGCACTGCTCCGATAAACCATTGAGATAATTGCTGGAATGATCTGATAAGTGCTATGAGGTATTAAGTCTGCGGGAGAGTATAAATTTCATCCGATTGGCTTTGTCGTCCTGGATCGTAAAAACAAAATGGAGATCAATAAAGGGAGAAACTAGGTAGTCAGTTCTTGAGTTTGATCTCAAATTTTTGTAAATTGTCTATAATTTGTACTGGTCACAAGGTATTCTAATGACTCACCATGTTTATGAGAAGTTTGAATAACATCGACCATTGTATTCCTGAGATAATCCCTATACGTATATCATTTATGCAGGTCTTTTTGATACCTTGATACTCTCCCTCAATATTTGAGTCCCTATATGAGGAATGTCAATAAAACTTGAATGTCATTAAAATGTTATTGGACAATTTCAGTCTTTGAACTTGAATAATTGAATTTCATTACAGCTAAGCGTGTTTAAATCTATACCATATTTCCAATAAACATCTTGTATACAGAGTGTTTCACAACTTATCCGACAAATTTTAACCACTTATGCACTGTTACGAATGAAGTTGATTTCTCAAAAAAAGTCTAATGAAAGTCCTACAGAGATTAAGGTATAAACCTGAGTTGTACCAAACAACTGACGAAAACAAATTCCAGGAATTTTTTGTTTTTTTCATACTGATAAGAACGTGTAAAGTAAGTTTAATCTGTATCGTGGGTGATCTGAATGAAGAATGATCGATTTCCGTGAAGTAAAATAAAAAAAGTATTTTGCGAGCTTATGTTTTTAGTTATTTATTAATAAAAATGGCACATATGTACACTAATGAGGAGATGGTGGACATTGTTTCATCGCACGGAGAAGCAGGGCAAAGTTCGCGAACGGCTTCTCGTTTGTATGCCGATTTCCGAATAGGCACATACCACATCACGCCCAAACTTGCATTGCAGTTAATGGACACAATTTTGAACAGCTTTTACAAGTAAGTGAACTCTTAAACTGTATTTTTTATTATCTCGATTTCTGTAGGACTTTTATTACATTTTTTTTTTGAGTAATCAGCTTCTTTCGTAGCAGTGCATAATGTGGTTAAAATTTGGCGGATAAGTTGTGAAACACCCTGTATATTCAAAGTCTTCTACATACTTTGGAATTAGACTTAAATAAAACGTGCCAAACTTTACATTCCCCCTTTTAAGTAAATTATTATGCACGCATGCATCTTGTCATTACCTCTTTATCAAACTTAAGGTAAGGTGAAATTATATAACTGGGCTCATTAATATTCTTAGGCAGTGTAACCCTCTGTGTGGCCGTGAATAATATATGTATAAAAACGACTAATGTGGCTTATGGTGCCATCAGTTTACGTTCTGCAGATCTTCTGTTATCGTACCATTAACAAACAAAAACTACAACCATGTTCAAACTTGTAAGTATTATTTTGTTATTGTCGTTGTATTTATTTTCGACACGCGGCGTAGATTAATAAATAAAAAAATAAGTCAAGTAAATTAACCCGTTAGTTCCTACGCATTTTTAATTGTACATTCAACAGGTTCTGACAACGTTTTTTGTCACTGTCGAATCAAATAGGCTTTCGACCTAGGGGTACACTTTGTACTCACAATTATATAAAAATATAAAATTAAAAATACAAAAAACAGATGGTATCATAAAAACAATTACCCAATCTAGTGAAAAATTGTTCATTGTTTGGCCAATTTAATTTTGATATTATAACATTTCTACAATACCGAAAGACATATTTATGCAAAAATATTGTTTATAATAATAATAATAATAATGGTTTATTGGTGCTATTTCACAGAAAGTGCTTACACAAGTCAATATAATAGAAGTGCTCAGTTACAAGAAAAAAATAACTGACAAACAATACATATAATAACAAACAGTACAGATTACACACACATAAATATGGTTAAGAGGATGATAATAAAAGTATAAAAGATAAAATTATTACAAACTACGTTAAAATCAATAAATAAATGGCATAGGAGATAGAACTGAAATAAATATTTTATACATGGTTCGAATAAGTAGCAAAGAAAAAACGAAATGTAGCTTGAAATATAACTATTGAGTATCGGTGGAGAAGTTGTGGTTGAGGAACTCGTCAATGGTGGAAAAAGCAGCCGACAAGAGCAATTTTTTCACAGCATTACTGAATTCATTGTATGCTAGTGATCTTAGTTCCTTAGGTAAAATATTATAAAATTTTATGCCATGGTAGTTAACTCCATTCCTTGTTATAGCAAGTCTATGTTGTTTTGGGTACAAGTGGTCTCGGTGCCGGGTATTATATGAATGAGTTTCATGGTGGCTTGTATAAAGGTCAGGATTTGACTTGACATGCAAGAGGCAGCTCAATATATATGCGCCAGGCAAAGTCATGATCTTTAGTTTGATAAACTCAGATCTGCAGGGATCTCTATATCTTAAATTTGCTATATATCGGATACATCTTCTCTGTAGGGCAAATACTCTGTACATGTGGGGAGAGTGGCCCCACGCCAGAAGGGCGTATGTCATTTTGCTATGGAAGTACCCATGGCAACTGGTCAACAGGACGTTTAGTGAAACTGACTGTTTTGAATTGCGAATTAAGTAAATTATGCTTGTTAGAGATTTGGTAACATGACTGATATGTTCATACCAGTTCAAGGAGCATTCGATATAGACACCAAGAAACTTCACAACCTTTGCATGGTCACCATTCTGATTATTATTTCGAAGTGTGATTGTCAAGGATTGAGATTTGTTTGAATTTAATGTTAATTTGTTAGCTATAAACTAATTCTGAATGCTAGATATACTGGACGTCGTTTCGCTGTTGATGTTTGTAAACGAATCGTGGGCTGAGATCAGAGTGGTGTCATCAGCATAAAGAATGAGCTTACTGTTCATACTATTAAGAAGACAATTTGGTAGGTCGTTTATATACACTATCGGTCACTATAAAATAAAAACTCAAACTACTTAGTCTCGTATTATGATCGCAAGGATTTTCAACTATTTTTACTTCCCACGCCAAACTGGTGAGGAAGAATGGTAATCGCGAAAAATTTCTAAAATGAGATAGTGTTTTTGAATGTTATGTGACATGTACACCACGATAAAATATGTCGGTCTGTCTGACGGTCTATAACTTGGAAAGTACTGCTCGGATTAGGATGAAATTTTGTCACAAGGTTACTACTATGCCATGAACAAAAAAGCTTTATAGTTTTTGAAAATCGATCCGCTTGCGTCAGAAAAAATCTAAAAACGAAAAAAAAATCACTCAAACTCCACTTTTTGCGTTTCACAGGATCCTGGTCATTTTGGAAAAAAACGTTTAGGGATAAAACATTTGGGACTTGGTGGTTGTAGGGAGGTGGATAGGCTATATTTCATTTTTTTGATGTTAGTATATTTGTACGCTCCCAACCTTGGTAATTCTACGTACGTATTAGACATATTTCACACATCATAGATTTACCCATGTATTTGCCCTTGAAGATTTAGAAAATATTCTCAGCAGACAAATCGCACACCCATGGGCTGCGTCTGCTTCTCCTCCTGACGGCATGCCAGTCTTCGTAAGTGTTTTGGCATTACTGCCGCGTATGACTGGTGACTTGGTGACCGAGTTAGGTAACGGGTAGATGCGACGTTGCCAGATAGACTGCCGGTAGGGACTGGGACTGGGAAAACAGTTCTAACGAATAAGTTTACGGATCTCTTTGACTGAATTTTTTCCCAGAGGGTCTAGCTTGTGCTGAAGATAATCCTTCATGAACTGGTGATGGCGTTGAGTAGGGAGTGTAGAGTCAACCTACTTGAAACCCTTTTGTGGTGTCATCTATCTGTCTGGAGTCCTCCTCTGAACAGCAGCATTGTGTACTAAGAATTGTTGCAAGTATATTTTGATTGTAACCATTGAAGATTCTTTGGTCCTTAGACATTACTAGCAGATTCCATAATTCTTAAAAGGCCCAACATACCAAAAACAATAGCCCAGGAAAGAAGCAAAAATAAAATATGAAGTGCAACACAACCCACTCTCGGTTCAAAACCTTATTTTATTAAAGTCGCGATCTTTTGTAGAATGATTTAATTGCGAGAATATAGAATTATCACTTTGTACGAAGCGGGTTTCGAATTAGGTTCTTAATACGTGTTTTGAATATCCAATCTTTAACGAATGATGGTTTTCCATTCTAGGTGTTCGTCGCCGCTCTGTTTGCTTTGGCCGCTGCTGCCCCTGAACCACTACCCAAAGCGAATGCTGAGCCCGAAGCTAAGCCTGTGGCGAAGCCTCAATTCCTCGCTGCTGCCTACACTGCCCCTGTTGTGGCTGCCCCACTCGCATACACCGCCGACTACGTTGCTCCAGTTGCCTACTCTGCTTATTACCCATCTGTTTACACCGCTGGATATACTGCATATTCACCCTACACTGCTGCTGTTGTGGTTTAAATTGTTGAATAAATATCTTATTTATTGACTGCAAAATATGTTTTTCTGTGACTGCCTTTACAAATATTGCTCTTGAAAATACAATTATTGAAATAAGTATAATAATGGGATATCAGAGCTATTAAATAATCTCGGTGATATTCGTGGAATATCTTCCGAAATTACCACGGATCAAAATATGTATATGTACTCGTATATCTAAAACTTACCTCATAATAACCGATTATTACTGTTAACTCTTTAACTGGATCCAAAACGCAGAATCAGCCTGTCTGACATTATTTTTGAAGAACATTGAATCGTGCATAACCGGAATTCCAATATGCGAGGATTGGTAAGAAATATGGTTAAATTATAGAGACAGTATTTGGTGGTTTCTCCCTCGTTTCATTCAGAAATATTGGATCCTAACAAAGAAATGAACGTTTACCCTGTATTGAAGAGAAGTATATAACCAAAACATTTTATGGTGTTTCATTAAATTGACGTTGTCGTTGTAACTGAAAAATTATTTTCTTCCATTTACGGTTTCTCGGTATCCTGTTAGTTTGCTATATCAAAATTAACCCTATCAATAACCTGCTATTAGCGTTGATTATGTGTAGTGGTCCCACCGTGCATAGATGCAATTTTTAAAATATTCACAATTATTATATATGTATAATAATACATGTATAATAATACATATATAATAATTGTTCAATAGAACCTCGTATCAAAAATGCATATTTTCGAAAAGGTTGTCCTGTTGTTTGTCTTATGTTTGGATCAACCTTGAAAAATGAGCTTAACATAAAATACATATGAGATCTGATGATTAATTGCTCAGCTGTCAGGAATGTTCTAAGAAATGCCATTCTTGTTTATTACTTCTTCATGCGTGTCATAGTACCTAGTATCTAAACCTCATCAAAATCTTACTGATATTTTCGAATGTATATGTAGGACAATGCTTAGCGGTCTGATTACCTAAGATTTCTGAGGTCAGAAACTTGAGTGTTACTGTCACTAAAATATACAATCTTTTCTACCCTCAGTCCAAGTGTTTATCTTCCCCACATTGTTCCCGAAAATAAATTGTAGCCTCGGAAGCGATGAACGCCAAGTTTGGGGGTAATTATAACGTCTAATCAAGATCTGGGCAGCTATTTGTAAAAACTGCAGAGCATTTTTGTATTTGCTATGGTATTATTCTATAATATTTTGTAATCGCAAAGTTTTAATAGAAAGCTATTTGCACTATGAAACAACTAAGTTTAACACGGCATTGTAATGCACTCTAGTAATATATGGTCCCACAAAAACCTGAATGCCCTAAAATTTTTGTGGCTCAAACAATGCAGTAAGTGTTGATCCGATCTATGTAAATTTCTACATGAGTTATCAAAAATTCAAACAAGCTAAAGCGGTGTGTGTACCTGAAAAACAAAAAAAAAACACATTGCATGTTTGGCATAATTGAATAAAGCCCGCTGCATGTAGACTGATACGTGAGCATGAAAATAATTATAAGTGGACTTCGACTGTTGGCTCAGCTCCAAAATCGTCGGTTGCAGAAGTCCTACTCATTCACTTTTCATACGTAGGCAGACAAAACATTTTAAGATTCGTTGTCGTATCTTTGTTAAATATCCCTTGATTGATATTCATTATACAGGTTGAGGGCGACAAATTTAATAAGGTATACGTACATACATCTTTGTAAGTATGTAGGTCTAGACGTAATCCTGTATTTTTTCTACTGATGCTGGTTCCTCTTAAGGAAATTAGGCATGCAACAATTTCCTTGACTGAATATAAAGCATTGGGTGGATACCTTGATTCACGAAAAATCAAAGATTGCTAATTTAAAGATGAAAGAAAGTAGTATTGTTTTAAGGGATGGACATGCATTTTAGTTTTATTTTCACATGCTTTTCTTCGGAAATTTGGAGTGGATGGTCACAAAGAGTATTGATCATTTTGCCACCGAATGTTTTTAGTTTTATGTTTTTTCGGAACCTGTCAGAAAATAAACATTCATGTATATGTCTCCATATCATAAAGCTACAAAAACAGGCTTTAAATGTTTGAGTCCACCATCTACGAGTAGTAAAAGTGCTTTAGGGTCCGTAGCTGACATGGCATGTTATAGACTATAATCCCACACTTGAAGCCGCAACAAATGCTTTATCACCATTAAAATATTATAAACGAAGGTTGGTACCTTTAAGTCCCAGAGCATCCCAATTCACAAAGTCGAAACAAGGGAATCAACTCCAAATTTTGGGATGAGTAAATAGCCTACAAATCAGGCGCTTTCACAATATTTTTGGTCACTCCCGTTACGAAAGCTACAGCTGCATGTCATAACGAAGTACCAGTTCACCCAAAAATTTGCAATGCTCTAAACTTCTTGTTTTGTTTCGATACTGTTCCTACCGATTTACTCTACAGCCACCCCTCAAAAGTCTAAATCTAAAAAATATTCAGGTGGTCTGAAAATATAAGCTTGGGGTTTTCCGGATCTCTGATTAGGAACCTCTTCTCAGAACTACTATATTTACAAAATGATGTAATCCGTCTACTGGAACCAGTGCCAAATTTAATGAAACTGACTTTCCAAAAGTGTTATCATTAGCCCACTATGATCCGGGGTGTACAAACTTGTAGCAATAATTTGTTGGAGTTAGTCCATGCCTGACGATCCAAATTTTTCCATGTAGGGCTCCGACTAGTTAAGTTGTCAATATTCCAACCATCAGTATTCACAGATTCATCATTCAGTGAAAGCATATTTCTATGTAATCTTACATATCAATAATTCTGAAGCCTAACAACACGTTCAATAAATATCACATTCCATGAAAACTACTGATGATAACAGTAAATGCTGATCACGTTTCATTGGCATTAGTTGTTTTTAAACACTCCAACTACCATGAAGGCCTAATGCCTAAACACCCATGGGGTACTGTGGTGCTATACGGGAAATACAGGGGAAAGGGGGGACGCCACACGGACTCTGGCGAGGGAACACGTGTGCATCCAACATGCACACATTTTGGCCCCGTCTACGGACAATCACAACATCCATAGCCAAGAGAAAAATCTCTTTTGGGACGGGATTCGAACACGCGCAGCGCACGGCGACTGATCAGGAGACCTAAGAGTCTACTACTGCGGCCACCGCTGCTGCCTTTAGTAAATATATGAAACTTTTCATTTGGTCGAAGCATTAAGCGTTGACAGACATCTTGAAGGTTACAAAGAGATTCCCTTTATAATTGACGAAAAGTGCTTTAGTACGATATTCCTATAAGATAATTATCCACAAACCGTGTTCTATTCGAAGAATGTTTAGTTGGTTAAGAACGTGGATGATTTACTGTTGCAATGGTTTGAGAACATGCTAATTACTATTCGTTTAAGATCTCTAAAAACCACACATATCGGGGGCAAATTGCCCAATTACAAAGAAACTTGTACTATCATTTCCTTAACAAATAATTATTCTTTTAGAAAATGCCTCCAAGTAAGATAAGCGATTTCGTTGACAATTACAGGCCCAAGTGTATTTATTTTCTGTTTCCTACATTGTTGTATTAGGCTCAGAGACGTCCAACGTTTGGACTGCTTTTTGTTTACCGAATGGCTGGAAACGGTTATTTCTTATTCACAGGCTTCGTAACTATTTTCTGTAAGTAAATAACGTATGTCCTAAAAGTTTTGGCACAAACTATTTATCGGATTTTTTTTATTAACATTTATTTAAGCATTAACTAGTTATCATAAATTAAATCTCAATACTTATAAAACCATACTATCGAATTATGTGGAGCGGCTCATTCTGCTCCACCAGACGCAACTTTCTTCGAATGTCTCTCATGAGGTCCTGGGCGGCATTCAGATCAATCTCTCTCAGTTTTTCGTAAATTCGCTTAATTGTACATCTTGGGCTTCCCAGCCTCCATGATAAGCTTTCCTTGATAGTAAAGCCCAAAAATCCTCTATTCTATCATCTAAAATAATGATTTTTCCATTGGCAAGATGTACCCGCCTCTTGGTACATATTTAAGAACATTCCTCTTCATTTAAAATGATATCGTACTCTTAGAAGATATGTATTGACGAGTCAGTCTCCTAGTTGACACTCCAACCTGATTTTTTGCTCCACTCAATAATCCAGTTCCATCTTTTTGGAGATTCAGACAAAGTATACCCTGCTCGCACTCTGCTATTGTTCGATAAATGGTTCTGCGTGAAATGTTTTCATTCCGGAATATTCGACAGATCTCAGCTGTGGGTAGGTACTCGCCCAACCATCTTGTGGATACTTTTTCTTATTTCTAATTTATACCGCATCTTAAAGCGAAAACTTCAAAATAAATAAATGTCAACTGGCCGTGAAGTAAGTAAACAAACTTTTGTTTCCAAAGGCAACTTATTATTTTGTGTTTGTTGAAATTAAATCCAATGAATTTTGTGCCAAAACCTTTAGGACATACGTTATAGTTGAATGTCACAAAAGCATTGTTTCAACACTTTAATTAAGCAGATACCACAAATTAAAAGTAAGAAAACTTATATCAGATTGCAATGCCAAATGGCCGTATGTACAGCATTAAAGTAATTGTGTGGTGTCTGCATGCTTACGTCTAACTTGTCTTTGAGGTCGAATCTGATCGACCAACGTACTAAAACAAAAAAGTGGCTACTGGTACTAAGATACAAAAATTGTATGTGCCCAGTTGTGAAGCTACATCAAGCAAAAAACCTTACCAGTGAGTAGAGAAAATAACATTGATTTACTAGATGTCAGTAAAAAAATATGTCACAAATGGTCCCAAACACTACAAAGAATGAGCATTCCAGATAAACAATTACATCAGTTATTTATTTTGGCATTTCACGGGGTCTATCTATCTATCACTTTATTTAGTCCTGAGACAAAAAACATAAAAATAGCATCAACGAAGACGGCAAAACATTTTGCTTTAATCAAAACGAAACGGCTGAGGAATCATAATCCAACCTTCGTGAAATACAGTTAAATAAGTTAAGCCGGAAAAGAAGATTATCCAAGATGTAATCTTTT